CTAGACCTCAACCAAAAGTGAGGTCAACAGAATCACAACCTCCTTCCTCAACCTGCAGGCCAACGAACTGAATATCGACCCAAGAAAGAGTATCACCGCTCAACATGTCACGTGCTAACATCTTGATGAACATCAAAGATGAGCAAGCTATTAAGTGGTCTCACCCCCTAAAACCAAACTCAGGAAATCAAGAACAATACTGTCATTTTCATCGAAGTCGTGGTCATACCACTGAGACATGTAAGCTCTTTAGGGAAGAAATTGAAAGGTTGATCCAACAGGGATATCTTGGTCGATTTATATAAAACAAACTAGCTGGTAACGATAATGCTCATACTTGGGGGGGGGGGGGGGCAACAAACACAAAGGCAGCAACATGGGAGTCACCCAGTCGTGGGTGAAATTCAAACAGTTGCAGGAAGCTCATTGTTGATTGATCAAGTCCTTGTCATTGTACTTGGTGAACCAATACAGAAGAAATTGAGCCTCGAGCCTATAACTTTTGATGATTCCAATTTAAAAGGAGTTCGAGTCCCTCGCCAAGATCCTCTTGTCATTAGCACAGGACTTGGAGAGCCCTACTATATTGTAAAGAGGATCCTGATCGACAATGGGAGCTTTGTTGATGTCTTGTTCTATTCAACTTTCCCTAGTTTGGAATTGACAAGGGAAAACCTTCAACCTGCATACGGACCATTATATGGTTTTGATAATTGACCAGTAAGGGACGAGGGAAAAATAAATCTGCCTGTTGTCTTGGGAGATTTTTCTCGACAGATAATTCACTCAGTCTTGTTCATCATTGTCAAATCAGAATCGACATATAATGTCATCTTTAGGAGACCACTATAATCAATCTTTAGCATCGTGACTTCTGTAACACACTTGAAGATCAAGTTTCCAACCCCAAAAGGGATCAACGTCGTGCGAGGTGATCAATAGACAACACAATCATGCTACCTCAGACAAGCTCAGCCACACCCATCAATGACATCATCTAGAACATCAATCTTTGAGATGAAGATGTATCTCAACGGGCTTCTCCCGTGGAAGACTTGCTTTATATCCCACTCTCTGACGAACATCTCTCGAGAACAGTGCAGCTTGGTTCCCTACTCTCTGATAAGCAAAAGTCGGAGTATGTAGATCATCTCCAAAGGAACCAATACATTTTTGCACGGACTTAAGTTAAGAACATCATTTTTACATTTTTGCACGAACCCCCTGTGTGCATGAAATAAAAGAGTACAGTACACGCAAAATTTCAATTATAACAGTGTTGTTTGATATTGAGACATGTCTGGAGTTGATCCTAAAATAATCATGCAATCTTTAAAGGTAGACCCAACCTTTAAACCGTTCATCCAGAAGAAGCACAATTTTATTTCATTGAACAAGAAGTCAACAAGCTTCTTGAAACAAAGTTCATACGCAAAGTTCATACGAGAAGTTACGAGAAGTACATCATCCTGCATGACTAGCAATATCGTTATTGTGAAAAAAGCTAGTGGTTCATGGAGAATGTGTGTCGACTATACAGACCTCAACAAAGCTTGTCCGAATGATAGTTTTCCCCTTCCGCACACAGATCAACTCATCGATGCCACATTTGGACAACATATGCTAAGCTTTATGGATGCGTACTCAGGATACAATCAAATAAAGATGAACCCAACTAACGAGGAGGTCGCCTCTTTTCAAACAAATAAGGGCTTATACTATTATCAGATAATGTCATTCAGATTAAAAAATATTGCTGCAACTTATCAATAACTCATGAACAAGGTCTTCAAAAACCTTCTCAGGCGTATATTAGAGGTTTATGTTGATGACATGTTTGGTAAAAAGCTTGGAAGCATCCCAACACAATCCAAAACAATTCTCATCTGGAGGAGTGTTTCCAACTCCTTCGTCAGTACGATTTACAACTCAACTTGGCTAAATGTGCTTTCAAAGTCACATCAGGAAAGTTTCTGGGATTCATGGTTACCCAACGTGGAATTGAGGCAAACCCAAAAAAAAATAAGGCACTGAGAGATATGGTGCCCCCAAGGAACATCAAGAAAGTGCAATGTTTGAATGGTCGTATAGCCAATCCATCTCATTTCTTAGCTCGTTATGGGGATAAGTATCTGTCATTCTTCAAGATACTTAGAGGTGCTCGAAACCTTGGTTTTCAATAGACAGATGGTTGTCAAATTGCTTTTGAGCAACTCAAGGCATATTTGGCTTCACTGCCCCTCCTCTTAAAGCCCGTCCAAGGAGAGATGTTATATATCTATTTGGTTGTTTCACCTCATGCAATAAGCTCCGTGCTTGTCAGAATGGAAAACTCAGTCGAGAAACCAGTATACTACATTAACAAGATTCTCTCTGATACAAAAAGTCGCTATCCGATGATGGATAAGACTGCGCTAGCCCTGGTATTCTCAGCAAGTAGACTTCGTTTCAGATGAGTATAACACCTGAGCCGATGCCCTCTCCAAGATTGCAACTTCAGCAACTGGAGATTTCTATAAAAGAAGGTATATTGAGGATATACATTTTTCTAGCTAATTTTTCTAGCATCCATGGCCCATGGGAGATACTGTCTATAGATGACCCAAGGGAGTCATCTTGGATGGATCCCATCATCTCCTTCCTCCGAGATGAAACATTGCCAGGTGATTCTACTACAACAATTCACATCCAACGCATGACTGCCAACTTCATCCTTATAGGGGATGTACTGTACAAGAAGACATTTGTAGGTCCATATCTCAAGTGTCTTCCTCCATCTGAAGCTAATTACGCTCTATGCAAAGTTCATTCCGGAATATGTGGGGAGCATCTTGCTGGCAAGACACTTGCTCTTAAAATGATGAGGCAAGACTTCTACTGTCCCACGATCAAGCAAGATGCATTAGAGTTTGTGCAAAAATGCAGGAATTACCAACTACATTCTAATCTTACACATGCACCGCTAGTCAAACTCACATCTTTTTTAAGTCCTTGGTCTTTCGCCCAATGAGGGGTAGATATTATGGGGTCATTTCCGATAGCTACTGGACAACGAAAATTCATCATCTTAGCTGTCGACTACTTCACCAAATGGGTAGGAGCAGAACCTATTGCCAAAATCACTGAGGTAAATGCCAAACAGTTTGTCTGGAAAAACATAATCTGTAGCTTTGAGCTTCCAGCTAAGATTATAAATGATAATGTGACTCAATTTAATGGAAGGGTCTTCACATCATTCTGCAAGGATCTTCATTCACATCACATTCAGTTGGTGCACATTGCTGTGGCGCATCCCCAAAAAAATGGAAAAACAGAGGTGACGAATCGTACGGTGCTCAAGGGATTGAAAACTCGACTTGAGAAGGTTGGAGGGCAATGGGTAGAAGAGCTGCATAACGTTCTCTGGGCCTATCGCACCACCATGAGAACTCCAACTGAGAAAACTCCATATAACTAGTGTTTCGGCACCGAGACTGTCATCCCCGTTGATATTGGAATTCCAAATCCCCGAGTCAAAACTTTCGACTCGAAAAGCAATAAAGAGAAGCTCCGACAACAGTTTGATCTTACTTGGAATGTAGAAAATCTTCACAAGTATTATCAGTAATACCTCAGTCATGTAGTCCAAATATGTTATTACGTCACAACTCATGCATAATCAATGTATCTTAAATATTATTCACTTACTTTCCTATACATAAAAGATATATTTATAACGTGTAATGACTCATCCATGAGTCACTTCATGCACTCGACCCGAGAAATACACAACTTAAATTATATCTTAGTTAGAGCACGATCAAAGAGCACGATCAATCCCAGGGGGGTTTGATCTAACCTCTTCCATATGGGTTAACATCGTTGAGTTTTTACTCCGATAAACAACCCTGAATAGGTTAACAGTCCTTGGTGGGCTACACCTAACCTCTTCCACACAGGTTTGTAAGCGAGTTGAAAGCGATCGATGCTCCAACAAACAACCTCGGATGGGTTAATAAGTCATAGGTGGACTTCCGTTGGCTCCTCCTATGCATGTTAACATCATCGAGTAGCATTCTGATGCATAGCCTCAACAAAGTTAAAGACCACTGACAATTTATCCCCACGGTAACCTTCTTCATGACATTAGACATCCAATGTGTCGTACCACCGGAACGCACTATCGCAACGCGTCGGCGCGAAGCACCGCTACAACGCGTCGCCCCGACACACCGCTGCAACGCATCGCGTCACCACGACATCCCTCCACGATGCACGACCACAACGCGTGGCTGCGACGCCTCGCCGCAACATTTTGCTTTAACATTTTGCCGCAATGTGTCGCCGCAACACTTCGCCTCAACGTTTCGCCGCAACACTTCGCCTCAACGTTTCGCCGCAACACTTCGCCGCAACGTTTCGCCGCAACTCTTCGCCACAACATTTCGCTGTAATGTTTTGCCGCAATATTTTGCCGCAATGCGTTGTGTAGTCGCGATGCCCGCCACGACAATCCCCCGCGACCTGCAGCCGCAACCCGTTGCCTCAATGCACCGCCGCATGCCCCGTCACACCACCGCAACGCATCTCCGCGGCACACCTCCGCCACACTTCGCCGCAACGCCTCTCCTAAACTCATAATATTAAATTTTAATTATTATTTTTACTCTAGAGAACATAAAATAGTGTGATATTAGATGTTGTACTAAAAAAATTTATCGCTACAACCTTGTTGTTATATGCTTTTTCGTCTGGATATAAGCCCCAGAATTAACATAACAACCATAATATTAAATTCTAATTAATTTTTTAGTATGGAGATCATGAAATAGTAATATAACAAATGTTGTACTGAAGAAGTGGATGTAGATCACGAAATTAACATAACACCCATAATATAAAATTCTAATTAATATTTTACTCTGGAGAACATGAAATAGTGTGATAGTAGATGTTATACTGAAGAAATTTATCGGTACAACCTTGTTGTTCTACGCTTTTCATGTGGATATAGGTCAGGGAATTAACATAACACCCATAATATGAAATTCTAATTAATATTTTATTGTGGAGAATATGAAATACTGTTATAGTAGATGCTGTACTGAAGAAATTTATGAGTACAACATTGTTGTCCTGCGCTTTTCATGTGAATAAGAGTTAGATAATTAACATATCACCCATAATATGAAATTCTAATTAATATATTACTTCGGAGAGCATGAAGGTGTAATAGTAGATATTGCACTGAAGAAATTAATCGGTACAACTTTTTGGTTCTGCTCTTTATGTAGGGTTATATTTCATGTAAATAAAAATAATAGTTTTGTACCAATAAATTCTTTAATACAATCAAGCGAAAACCATGTTGTTCTGAAGAATTTTTTGAGTACAACTTGGTTGTTCTGGTTATTTAATATTCCTAAGATGTATATTTTTGAATGAGAACCGTAAAGAAGTTAATAAAAATAAAATAATATCAAAGGGAAGGCATATCATTAACTCAAAATGCATCAAGTGAACACCCGACTATTCTGATAATTTACAATTAATCGGTACAACAAGCAATTTAATTACAGTAGTCATAGGCTCCATATTCCTTAATGGTCATACAACACAAGACGAAGACATATTTAGTCCTAAAGATGGACATCTTTTCAGTCCAATCCTGGTGTTCTAACCGTGTTTTCTGCGATTTTATGAATCCTACATTCAAAACATGTTCCGTCGAATTAATTATTTTCTTCTTTACGAGAGACGTACGAATTATTAGACGATTTTTGTTCAGTACAATACTGTTATAATTGAAATTTCTCTTTAGTACAACAATGTTATACTCCAATTCACGAGCCCTTACATTTAAACTATTATTTTATAACAATATTTGTCTGCGTTATAAGTGATTTATGGGTTATTTGATTGTTAGTGCTCAATACAATGCGATTGTATTTGATATTTTTCATCAGTACAACTATGTTTTTTTATGCTATGAGCCCTTTTATTCAAATAATTTATTTTACAACACTTACAGCCTTGTTGTAGTGAATAAATTTATGCAGCACAACAACATTGTCTTCAATCAAACAACAAGAAAAAACTTTCAAATGCATACCATGGAGATGATAATGCTTCTAACTAGGAAAATTATAGGGTTCGAAAGACAAAAAGTTAGGGCATTAGATTTTAAACACACAATTTATTCGAATTTCAATCGTGAATGAGTACAAGCAAGTTGTATTACATGCAAATATGACTATTTTGTTGTATAAGATATTATAATGAACATACTTCATCTGCGAACTGAAATAGCATTGTGTAAGAAAGTGGCGATGCCATTGAAGCAGAAGCAATGCTGAGCTACCAATGACGTCTAAGCTTCTATTCAATTCTGGAAGGAATAGCATGCATGCTTTAAATCTAAATGAGGAGCTTCAATGAGACGGGAAATGAGGATGGTGACAATGATCGAGTGGACGAAACCCTAAAAAACCAGAACCTACCCTGTTTCAAATGCCATATTGCGATAATATTATGGACTTGTGTCGGGTTGGGTAAATTTCACCCTTTTTTTTACCTGAAGTAATTAAAATTATATATGTATACGTGTCAATTTTTTATTGGAGTCCGGACGTATAATATTCTGGTATGCAGACATGCATATATAATAGGGTACACGGGGTTTATACCGGAATTACAAGGGAGTTATAACCCATTGTACCTCCCGTGTAACTCCCGTGTAACTCCGCTGTAACCTTGTAATCTCAATGGATAAAATAAAAGCGCGGGTTACAGTTGAGTTACACGAAAGTTACAAGGAAGTTATAATACGCTTGTAACCCCCATGTAACTCCCATATAACGCCCGTGTACCCTATTATATACGCATCTCTACGTACCCCTTGACGTACGCAATTTTTTTCCCTGCAGCAGTGCACAACAGAATTCGATAGAGAAAAGCAAATTTTCTAATATTTTTAAAATTAAACAAGTAAAGTTTCTTCAATAGGATCATCAGGCAAGTTTGGAGAATAAAAGGTCAGGTCAGGCTGTACATTAAAATTCAGCAAGCCAAACAAAATGTGATGCTGCTGACAGCAATGCTGGCTGGCCGCGTCAATACTATTTGGGCATGCTGGTTTTCGAAGGTCCAGCTCGCTCCAGCATGACATTATATAGCTGTTTTCCATTCTGCACCGAAAAACACAACATTACAATCAGAAAGCAAAGGATAACAAAAGAGAAGAGAGATTCAAAATACCCACAAATATTACTGGAAAGAAGTGAATCTGTCCTTGTGGTTTAGTCTGCGTCTCCTTGAAGTACACTAAAATAGGAAAATTAGGCCACCAGAGCTCCCAGTTCACAAAATTTGAGTAGCTGTGGTAAATTTTAGTAAAATGCTTATTCAAACCAGTTTTCTCAAAAAAAATTTAGGAAGGGACAGCATCTCACTTCCAACGGTTCTTTCCGCCAACAAACACATTTTCACCTGACTCCTCGAGTTGTTCGCCAATTCTTACTTCCTAAACTAGGTAAATAAAAGATAGCACAACGGTGAGAGAAGTATTAGTTGAGATTTACTCAGAAAATGCATCGATAACAGCTTTGAACAAGACTGGAGGGAGAATAAAGATTTTTAAACCATGAAAAATGGTTTCAGTAAATTTGATGAAGACTGCAATGCTTAAAAACGAGGAAAAAATGATAACAAGTTTGCGCTCTAACCAATGTAGCTGTTCTCTTTTTTAGAAATCACTAGAGAGGAACTGTAGTAATAAGAGTTATACGAGAGAAGATTATAACGGTCAAAATTATGACCTACTCGGATGTTCCATCCATGTTTACAGGCTGAACAAGGAAAACTGGACGCATAACATTAGATGGACTTTCAGCAATCAAGTCATGTTTTTTATAACGTGGATTGCACAGACTGTGTTATTAAATGCTTTTTATAAAAATATAAAACAGATCATCGCATAAAAAAGATTCGCCAAAAAACTTGAAAGTTATCATCCATTGTTAAAGAAAGTTTAATTAAGAAAAATGTATCATTTTATGAGCTCAATACTGAATGTAGAGAAGGTTCAAACTTTCAGTGAGCACCTTGAAAATTTGAAGCATTTTCAAATAGTGTGTGAGGCCAAAACACAAAATACAATACAAAGTCCAGTATATTAATTTATTTTAAATTAAGTGCTTAATTTACAGTTTCAAGATACATGTCCACGTTTCAAAGTTAGTTAATCAAATGAATTAATTTAATTCATCTTCCAAAATCACCTATCTGCCCCTTTATGAGATAAGTTGAATAATTTCAAGGAGGGAAGCAACAAACCAGGGCTTCCTCATCAAAGACAAACCTCACTCTGTTTGCCTGCCAACACGCACAAGGACAGACAGGTTAGATTATTCAACAAGGGAAAACATATTAAAAAATATTATTAAGGGTGGGTGCAAAGAGTGAAGGGAAAATAATTAATAATTGTTGTTCATAAAAAACAATTAATAAAAGGCAACAATACATTCATATGCAAGGGAAAAGAGTTAATAATTGTTGTTCATAAAAAACAATTTACCTGAATGGGACAATCTAGGACAATAAAATCCCTCATAAAACAGATAATATCTTGTAAGCTACTCAATGCTTAGATTAAGATAAGGTTGAGACTTGTCCAAAAATATGCTGATGCAAGCAGTAAGTGGTTGCGAGAGTAGAGTTTGCTAATATGAGCATTACTTGACAGCCACCTGCAAGTTAATGATCCCATATTGGATCATTAACTTGTTTTAGTTGAGTGCAGTGAATGGAGGAATGGATTTGGTGAAGATTGCAGGCTCATTTTTTGTGGGTATGTTATGAAAATTTATGATATTGTATTTGACGCAGCCACAAAAAAAGTGTTAGTCGATTTTGATGTATTTGGCGCGAACATGAAAACTGTCGATGGTGAGTGCTAGAGTAGAGAAATTGTTGCAATAACGGTGTGGGCTCTAAAAATTTGTGTTCCAGCTTCTTTGAGAGAATTTTTGTTAATTTGTAGAATAAAATTTTTAAAACGCAAATTTGATTGCATATATGATTCAAAATTTCACATTGCTGCAAAACTTATGGTAAATTACCTCTCAATAAAGAGAAATAAATTTTTATTAAGACTAGTCATCAAAAAGCTAATTACTTAGTATATAGTAGCAATAATTTGGGTGTTACTTTGAAGAATTTATCATTTTTAGCTTAGCACAGATAGTGGGGAAAATGATAAAGAACCCAACCAAAATCCCGTGATTCTGTCAAAGTGATTTATTGGGGACCGTAGTCTACTTAGTCTGAGGTAGTAGACCAAACCTATAATGACCCAACCCGGGTGTTTGAAAGTTTAAAAACGAGAACAGACGATTGGACAATGAAATTAGATTTTCTAACTTCCATTTTCTACCACTATAATTAATCATTCCAAAAATAAATGAAAGAATAACTATTAATATAAAATTAAGTTAGAAAGTTAAACTTACTTTAGTCCAGGTTGGCTGCTTCTTCTATAAATGTTTTCTCATCTAGTACTCATTTTTAACCAAAAAAATTAAAATAATATAATACATTATCTAAAATAACTCAGTGGAGTAATTATACATTTAAATTACAATAACTCTGATAAAAAGATAATATGCAGGATCTTTCCTATTGCGTTATAGAAAATCATAAAAAATCTAAATAATGTATTCATGACATTTGCTCATGAAAATAGTCTAGAAATCATATATGCACATTGGTTTTATTTTTCAAGGTTTAATCTCTTAAAATTTAGTATATTTCTTACTCTTAATTTTACATCTGTTTCGAGAGCACCTACTAAACAATACCTAACACACCCCAGATTTGTACATACCCTATCAACACAGCGAGAGGCAGAACATGCCTACTATTGTTTGAAGTAGAAAAGTACTTACTCACTCACTCATGCCCGATATTCTCTCAAAGACACAACAGTTTGTGATCCAAATTTTATGATTACCTAAGGTGATAAGAAAATATCTACACGCGCAGGTACATTGGTGTTCCCAACCAATATTATAAGGGGGTGAACATCTTTCATCATGTACATACAAGCAATTCTTATATAAAATATTTGTATTTCATTCTTCATTGCATATATTTTTTTAATGAGACACTTTATATTTATGTACCAATAAATGCATTTCTAATAATATCTAAAGATATGTAATAATCTGATGTCATTCTTTGAAAAAAAATTATTGTGTAACTATTTTAAGAGAATTATTAACATGCGTATCTCATGTCTAATAATAAGAGAAGTTAGATGTAATTTAAATTTCACTAAAATCTAGGATAATTGAAATTAAAATATATATTAAAAAAATATATAATTATAATTTAGAAATATAATTACTCACATCAATTATTACATTAAATTCTCAGTTTTTGGGTAACCAACTTGACATCTTGATAAGTCTTACTTTGACATTAACAACCTATAAACAAAATTAAACTTTAAAATTCAAAAAAACTTCTAATCAAATTAATTTTCAATTATTATTATTATTATTATTATTATTATTATTTATTTTAGTTATATTATTTGCATTCCTTGCTCTCTTTAATAATTAAGTTAATTTTTTAATAAATGCATTAATATTTTGCTCCCAATTTGTCAATAATTATCCTCCATTGCAATTAATAAAACCAAAATTTTACCAGAGTGAATTTCCATCTTAAATAACTTTCATATATTAAATGATATTCTTATCATAATATCAAATTCCTTTATAAACATTGGATTATTACAAATAACTTGTACTTAAAATTGCATAAGATAAATTTCTATTAGTCATATAATTCTTTTTTATTATACTTGCTAAGATTATGCCAAAATTATTTATAATTACCTATATTTAATATCTTCGATTCAATTTCTCCTATTTCCAATTTCTAATTATCTTAATCACTTACAAACAAGTTTATCTTTAATAAAAAAATTAGTTAAAATCATTAAACAAAAATACTAAACATTATTATGTAAAAATAATCTTTGATTTAATTTAAACCAAAAAATCACCATTTTTAAAGTGATAATGCTTGGTTCAAAACACCGCACCCAACATAATAATCACATGTGTGCTTACTGCCTGATTGTCCTAAACGCAGAGCACCAACTCATACATGCAATTAAACCCTCAAAAGCATATTATGTTGATGCCTTGAGTTGATCATTAGCACTGCAACTTGCCATTGTCCACTCGTCTCTTTCCCGAATGTCGAACATCAACCAATGCTCACAATTGGTGCTTGATCGGGCTCGTTTATTGCCCTTGTCCTAAGCATTTCACGCACGGCCAGAGTTGGCATTGCCTCTGCTTGTGTTCAATCCTCACCTCCTATAGTTTTCCTCTCCATCACCTTCCCATGTGTGACGCTCACGGCTTCCGTCGTTGCTTCTCACTCACACATTAGCTCACATCAACTTCTTCTTCCTTCTTCCCATTCGTTTGACTGCAGTGTATGCATGACTCCCTCATTCATCTCCCCCACTTACTATATGTTCTCGCTCTCGATTAGAATTCAGGGCTCATAGTAAGGCATCGACCCTTATTAATGAGGCATTACCACGGTTACGATCCAGAACTCGTAAAGAGATCTCAGTCATAATTTAGCGAGGGGTTAAAAAATCTAATCAAATGATCCTTGCTGACAATCATAATTATGCATCCAGGGAAATTTTATAGAATGAAGCCGATATTTTTCTAAGAGAATAGTTTTAAATTGATCTTAGCTAATAAAGAGCTTTGTTCTCCATCAAAGGTGCCTTAAGATTCTAAACTTAAGAGACAGAGTCATTTGAGAACATATGAGTTGAGGCACAAACCATGTCGTCATATGACTCTAGTTGCAACTGCTTGTTTTTGTGATATCATTGAGAGGCAAAATCAAATGAACATATGAAACAAACTACATGCTTATTGACTATGAGATTTTTGAAGAATGTTCACAACATGTATAATTTTAAATATATTATAGATTAAAAATGTACATAATGTAAATTAAGGACTACTGGTACATAATAACCATACATGAAGTTAATCAAAAGAGGTATGGTCTATTTTGATGATTTAAATAATGCACATTTATGTATTAATAATCATGATGTATCAAAATGATGATTATAAAAATATTGTTATGTTTCGTAAAAATCTAGTCAGGCTAATTTTCTACCCATTTGATCTTGACTTATTTAAATCAAGATGAGTGTTGGTAGAAAATATGTCTAAATAAGTTATCCAACTCTATTACATATCTCATGCTTTGATTGAAAGAGGTAAAATAAGGTGTCATATAATATGATGTGGGGAGGACAACTTGCCCAATGTGAGTGATTTAAATTGTTTGGCCACTTCCAAGCATCACCTATTGTATGTCATTGTATAACTAGGGTAGTTATATTGTCCTGGATCCAAGCTCAATAAGGCGCCATAATCTAATTATGCTGCATGTTGGATAGGGAGGCTCGTAAACAAAGCATGTGAGTTAGGTTGATATGATAGATTGGAGTGATGTTAGCACTAGAACCCTATATTGCCTAGTTTGTCACATATTTGGCATTCAAATAGTGGTGTAAGTGCTGCAGCGAAAAAATGTTTAGTTCATCTTTCCTTGCTTGTATGTACTGGATGGTGAGTGTCTCATGCTTGAATTGTAGTGCAATACTCGAGCTCTGCCCCAACCATGGATTGCTGTCAAGGTGAGTTGAAGATAGGGTTGAGAGCTTGTGTGTGGTTTCAAATGTGATGTTTAGCCCTTCGATGCAAAGAAAAAAGTGGAGATCATCCAGATTTAGATGTTGGAGGTTTGAGCTGACGACAGTCTTGAATGTCTTGTAAGCTGGAGGGAGTCCATTGAGAGCATATTGATAGATATCTTGAAGATTGAGGTGTAGATCTGTTGTAGCAATGGTGGCCACTTTTGTTCTGTAATTACAGAGTCACTGAGTCATGCGACAGTCCTTCATTTAAATGTGGTGGAGCTCATATTTCAACTGTAGAATATGGGAACGACTGCTAGCTAGTAGCCTTCAATATTAGTCTAAATTTCCAATATAGGAGTCAAGCGTGTGGATATAGGGTAGGTGCAGTGAGATTGAAATGGTTGGCTGCAGTAAGGTTGTGATCTACGAGTATCCTTGTGTAACAATTAAGGTTAGGAGTGATAATTCCATCATCAATGATGGTTTGTTTTGCTGTTTTAGGGTGGAGCCATCGAGTTAACCATCGAAGCTGTTGGCCTTGAGGAGTTTCAATGATCTGTTCAGGTCATGTTGAATGGTTGTCAATTGTGAGTAGTGTATTAATGATAATTCTGATATTGGACATGAGAAATTGGAGTTGAGGGATAGTGATGTACCCATTTTGAGTGAGGTGTGATCATCTTGTATTGGGTGTTCAATGTTAAGTAGTTGAGGGAATTCATGGGTTTGGGAAGATAGTAATAGCAGATAATAGATAAAATATAGAAGTAGTATAAACATGAACAGAGAAGAGGAGGAAGAGAGTAAAGAATAAGTTGGAATGGTGCTTCATAGCTTCTGTTGAGAGCAGCAAATAATTTCATAATATGAGAGATCACATAGGGTCTTCTACATTGGGCAGTCATACTTTCAAGAGGTTTAAATTAAGATGGAAGCTGAGAACTACCGAAGGATATGCTGCTGACAGTAGAGTTTTTTATCGTGAGCATTGCTCTACATATCTAAGAATGCTGGAAATTAACTTGTAATTAAGCAAGAACAAATTCACAAAAAATATGTCATCGATTTTCTCTGCTCCACCATATTTCTTGATCTCCTTAGTCCCGAGGGTTTAGGCTCCTAGAATGATCTAACTCATTATATTTTTTTGGTTTCAAGTTGGGCGGGGTTTGTTATTTGAAATTTGTTATCTAAAAAGCTCCCTGCTTTATTTTAATATTATTTTGGCAGAGTCCTTTGTTTTTGCCATCTATCTTGCTCTTGGCTGCAATTCTCTGATCAAATGAAAGTCTTTTGTAATTAAAAATCAATTTTGGGGTTTTGATTGCTCTGGTGAAACTCATTTTATCAAGTTTTCTCACCATTTTCTTGATTCCTGAGAGTATAAACTTACAAAAAAGAAATGAAACAATAATGTAAGCTCAATACAATCATAACTTTTTCCAAGGTTTGAAGATAAATAGGAAAAAAATTGGGTGAGGATATTCACACCAAAATTTGGTCAAGATGAGTTTTAAAACCCATTTAATCTATGTTGAGATGATTGCCAGACAAGAGTTGATTACTTATCCCAATGTAACACAAATCTCAAAATAAATCCAAGGATTTCAAATTCCATCCCGATCCAATTTTCTCGTGTAAATGAGAGTTTTCTGCTTGAATCAAAATGGTAAATATAAAACAAAAAACGACATACTACATTCCGAGTTACGATTTATGCCTTTGTGATTCAATAGCATGAGCTTTCCCTAGCAAAATTCTGAAAAAAACAATCAGTGATACAAACAGCGAATGAAAGACCAAACATCGTTCATAGCATTATACCTGGACTAGCAGAAGTAATCCAAGTAAGCCTAATGTAGCAGCAGGAAGCAAGTTTTCTTGGTAAAGAAACCCTCCCGCTAAACCTGCACCTCAAGAAGCATTAATATTGAAAAAAAAATGCTGGCTTGAAATGCCAGTATGATCGTTAAATTTTCAAGGTATATTAAAATCAAAATAGTAACTTAACAAGCAAACTAGAAATTAGCAACTTAAAACACGAAAATTACATATTACCCTTTGAGGTATTTCTTTGGCAATAAAATTAGCCGTACAAACAAGATTAAAAATTATCCCCAAATATGTAAGAGGCTGAGCAAGGTGGAAGAGTGATGATCATTTGGAAATTAAAAGCAAGAAAATTCATTAAAGCTCACCGAGTAAGACAATGGGAATTTTATAGTCCGGATCAGGGATAACAGTCTCTCTTTTCTCAGCCTTTCTTTCAAGCTGCCAAGCCAAAAACATATATTGCATTATCGCTAGTAAATTGAAAAAATGGTAGAAATATAGTAAAGACACAAGAAGTTATATAGTAGTTTAATCTTAAGTAACCACATGAGACTGCATTTAAAATGTTACTATATAATATCAAGAACTTTTGTAATAGAGCATACACTTGAAAATTTTAAATAAATGGAAAACAAATAAAGAGATCTTATAATCTTATGCGGTATAGATCCAAGGAATAAAATAATAAGTACATGTGTAAATCTAAACAGAAAACATGGAATCTACAAAATCCCGGTATGCATGAAGTAAAAAATAATATTTAGGCATGTAGATTACGTACAAAATAAATCACAGGATGAAAATTTAGGCCTAATCGGAGGAATTCATGTTCTTGATTTGTGGCTTTGCATGAATATAAAACACAATGATTAATTATTTCTCCTGATCATAATAGAGAACTCTCGATTAAATAGTTGAATGGCTCAGGAGTAGTTGTACCCTGTGATGACTTCCTGAATGCTTTGAACAACAGTGAATTTTTTTTTCTAAATTGTTCCTCTCTTGTTCCAAAAAAAAAAAAAAAAAAAAGCAAGGGAAATAATGAGAAAACGAATCACATTCTCTTGCCTCCATCATTGTAGGTGATATAGTGTCCTTAGCCAATTATTCATACATACTTCTCATAGGTCAAACACAAGTGGTCAAACCAATCAAAAAGAGAATCCAAACAAACAAATTTTTGAAAATTTCTAGAACTATTATTAATTTTGGTTGAATTTTCATTTATTTAATTGGAAATTTTAAATTAATTTGAATTAAAAAATGATAAGGATTATTTATTCTTAATTATAATTGAGTTTTTTTAATAAATGGAGACTTTTCATAAAAGTCTAGGATTATGAAATAAATGAAAAGTTTCATGCCCACCCTTGCCTTGAGAATTTGATAATCCAATTTTTAAAAAGATTCAACAAAACAGTTTGATAGTTTTAGAATTTTCTGTTTGGCATCTTCTATTGTGCTTCTTTCTACTCTTACTTTTTGCAATTAATTGCATATGATGTAACAATTAACTCAACCCGGTTCCCTATTAATTGTCTATTAATTCTTGTTATTCTTGACTTTAAAAATCATCCATTTTGCAATTTTTTCCTTACCATAAATATTTCCTCATAAATTGGCTTTCCTTGGACCATCCTTTGTACCTTTCCATCTTCTCTCCCTAACCGATTTTCCATCTACTTATGTAAACTAAAAAATGAATCCAAATTAAAGCCATCTAAACACTATCTTAAACCGAGAAAATAGGTGTGAATAATTCTCAGATGTGCAAGTCATAACTTCTACCACATCATGCTCTTCATTGTATCAAAGCAATTCGTGTTCAATGATTGGGCATATCGCAAGCTCCACCGCCTCATTTGTGTCTGCTTGCCTCATCCATACACATCATGCGCTCCTTTAACCCATCACAAGGATGTTCTGCCCTTGAACAAAGGGCCTAGGTTAATAATCACTAGTAACCTTTTTTTTAAAGATAACTTGTAGACCAAGAGTGAAAAACTTGCATATGAGGTCAATATCAAAGTTGGTAGAATTAAAAAGGGCTTCTTTCTCTACTTGGATGTCTCGTACTGTTCGCTAACTCATAAACATGTGCTTTGGGAAATATTTGAGATCTTGATTTCAATTGATTAAGTAATTCAAAAGCAACTATAAGGCAAAGACCACCCAATACAAAAGGGCATTTTGCAACTCTTTTAAAGATATAGGTAATTTGATTGTGATTGTTGGGGGTATTTTGATATTTAACCCTCAAGAGCATTGTTCAAGCTTTAACCATGACTAAAAGCAAATGGGAGGTTGGAGCATCTAGCAACTATTATTTTTTTTCATTTATTATTATTATTATTATTTTTTGGATTTTTCATATTTTATAATATTTATGATTTTTTTTTTGGAGCTTGGATTTAAAGGAGACCCAACATTGGGTAGTTTGATTTATTTTTTTTATTATTCAATCACTTAGGTTGGAATGATAAACTTGTGGTGACCCTACATAGATGGGTCCAAGTTTTGTATTCTTCTAGGGCCCTTAATAATTGAGATTTTAACATGTAACATAATCATTGAGTAAAGTGAGTGCCCGTCAAGTAATGATGTGTGCCTATCAAGTAAGGTGAATGCCTCGTCTTTTCTGGTGGTGGTGGTGGTGGTGACAATACTCCATCAAATAAATATTTTCAATTGTTGCATTCATCAATAGGAAGACAAAACCCTTCGAGTGGTCATATCATTAGAAAAAAATCTCCTAAAAGTGCATCGGTGCTAATATTGAGGAAGGTGAAGACAACAGTATGGATCGGGCTGACTGTTGGTTCGATCGAATCAATAGAAAAAATTATTAAGCCAATTAAATCAAAGAAAATAATAGACAAAACGGAACCCACCAAATAAGATATAGAGCCAAACCAAACCAAACAAAAATATAATTCGATGTTGATTAAATAAAATTTGAAATCATAATTAAGGTGTGTGTATTCGGTCAATTCAGATTGATTAGTTGACAAATTTATTAAACTAATTGGTTGATGGATTTAATTTAACCTCATAAATAATTCAATTTTTTGGTTCAATTGAATTTTTTTCAAACCGATCTAATAGCCAAAATCAAAATAGTCGTTAAATTATAAACAAAAATCAAATTGAGATTTCATCAACCGAATGAATTTAATAAAATATGCTTAATTTGATTCAATTTTTCAGTTTAAACCGATTAATGCAAACCACTGTTGACCTCACTTTTGGTTGAGGTCTAGAAACTTCTTCAGTAGCCTAGGTCTAGCCATAGGATTTTCCTATTGACTAGTCTTAGAAAACTAGAAAAGGTACCCTCACCATTAGAAATTCAAAACTCTTCTTTTTACTCAACTTGAAATTCCACATATTGACCTTAACCTCTAGCATTTAGTAGGTAAGATCATTATGAGAGAATTCAAGAAGAGTCCCTATAGGATTACTTGGCTTTAGGATTGACCCTGAGTGTTGACTTGGAACTAGGGTACACCATATTTTCACAATACATTAATCCATGGTTCATTTAGAATGGATATCTATCCAATTCTATGTCAAATGCCTAACTTGGTCTTTTGCCCCGAGGCACCTCCAAATTACCTAACTGCCATT